GACAAGATTTGTCAAATAACAGCATCACTGAACAACTATTAAGGAGCTTACATCCACTCTGAATTCATCCTCGAAACCAGTCGGTCTCGAGCTCGCTGGACTACCCCCTTCGGGTGTCGGCGAACTGGCCACACTGCGCCTGTCACCACCAATTCCGCCTCCAAAGAAATCCACATCTTCTTGAGCTTGTGCGGCCGCCACCTCGGCAGCAGCTCGTTCTTTTGCTGCTTCAACCAAATCTTCAGCGGAACGCACGTCGAACGGATCGTAACTCTACAAAAATATGCAAGAACAATGAAAAAATTTCGCAGCAATGCAATTTTGCATTCGATATATCATATGAATGATTTTCAATCCCTTCGTATCGTTATCACTCATTCAATTCACTGGGATGTGAAGACTTCATCAACTCGATAAAATATCAGCAGTTGGCGAAACCTCATAATTTCACGAGTAATGTATTCATCCAATGATTAACAATATATTTTCACACAAAAAAATATCATGTGCACGTAATTATTGTCAAGCAGTAAACTAACTGACTTGTGTGAAGAGATTCTCATCNCCGAAACCAGCCCAACCACTGTGCTCTGGTTGTTGACTGAATTAGGAAAGGTGAAAAAATGTGAGGTGGAGGTCGAAAGAATCAACAAATTGAATTCATTATGTATGCGATAGTGATCGACCATCTCTACTAATGATAATTTCTGCTGTGCGTTCTTCTTCGTCAACTCGAAAATCCAAACATTCGCGTGAATGCTTTCAGTTTTGATTTGAACAATTAGAGAAATCAACTTATTGTTAGAAGAAAAGTAAAATTCATTTCAAATTCTTCTCTCACATCAAACGCTATGCAGGATGAATTTATGTCGAGAAAGAAGCTGTTTTCGTCGGTAATCGTAAAAATGTAATTTTCCGAATTCAGCATCCGTCACTCCATCACAACAAGACGCAAAAAATTAATCTGCCCCAAAAAACTCACGCTGCATCTTCGATTGGCCTTTGAGAAGTATCAACATTTTGTTCCGATGCACTGGGCACCTCAGCGCTTTCCGTCCGTTGTTCTTCTATCGCATTGCTGAATAGAACAACGTTAGTTATCTTTTAGGCTGTGTTTGTGTAAAGTGAGAGCAGTTGAGATTAATGCGTTTAATGAATGCGATCGTTGGATGTAGTTTCCGAATGAAAACCGACTTCAGAATCTCATCGACAGAATCTTGAAGGATCTGAATTAATAATCGGCTGTTGCACTCTCAAGTGTTTTCAATCGACTAATATTTGGTTGATTTGGTTTAATAGGACATTACAATGTGATTCAAATAACGTTTCATCTCAACCTAGATTGCGAACAAAGGCAAAATGATGAGACGATTGAGAAAAATAAGAAAATGATGCAATACGATAAAAGAAGTTGGGCTGTTGGTCATGTGGATGGACATTCAGCAGTTATCGTCTGAAATCGAAGGAGGCTACTGATCAGTCAGGGTGATCGAAGATCGAATTTCGCTGACCAAAAACCGAAACCGAATACGGTTGAAAACCTGATTTGCACAAGATAACCAGAAAAGATGCGCCAACTCTGACTTATACCTACCTCTGGGGAATTTGCTCGGTCTGACGAGCCGGCTTCTCTGGTTGTTCCTCTGTGGGCACAGCTGGCGTGTCTCGCTCACTTGGTGGCTTCCAATCCTAGAAAACGTTATATTCATTGATCGCCCACTGGAGCAAGCTGGATTTGATCAAAAACCACCGAGAAAGGTGAACGGAAATAATTTAACCTACTCCCAGATCCGCTCTGCCTGCAGCCATCTTCATGGCCAATTGTTGCGCTGCTCTGTCCATATCGTCCTCCTGAGCCGGGTTGAATTCCGGCGTTTTAGCACGTTTTTTGCTTTTTTCTTTCGCTTTCTTCTTTTCAGCTTTCTTCTGCGCAATCATTTCCTGCTGAATCTTTATTTGTTTCTGCGCCAGCTCGGGAACATACCCTTGTAAACCACTGAAAATTTTTTGATTAATTAACATCTAGGTTCCATTAGAATCAAAATGTTCATCAAATGCACTGGAATGAATGGCACAGGAGCGAGCGAAGAACATCAAGTGGAGACGTT